TGTGGTACTTGGCGCTCAACGATGTGCTGGTCGGCCCCGGGTGGAAGAAGAGCCAGGTCGATGAGGCTCCCTACTTTAAGTTCGGCGAGGGTGGAGTGGCCTGCTGGGTGCTGGTCTACGTCGACGACCTGCTTGCCGCCAGCAGCAGCGCCGCGATGCTGAAGGAGCTGAAGGAGCTGCTGAAAGCCGCCTTCGAGCTGCGCGAGATCTCGCCGGTGCAGAAGTACATCGGGCTGGAGATCGTGCGCGACAGGTCGGCGGGGAAGCTGTGGCTGCACCAGCAGGGCTACGCCGACAAGCTGCGTAGGCGCTTCATTGACGAGGAGCAGACCGGGCGCACCCCAAAGACGCCGGTCTCGGTCGGCGCCTACGCCGAGCTCACCTTCGACGACGAGGAGGCGCAGGAACGGCAGGAGGAGGAGTACCGGCAGACGGTCAGCTCGTTGCAGTTCGCGGCGACAACGACGAGGCCGGACATCGCCTTTGCCTGCAGCAAGCTGGGGAGCGGCCTCACGGTGAGGAGCGACCAGCACTGGCGCGAGGTCGACCGCTGCCTCGCCTACCTCGCCAACACACGTGACACCGCCCTGGAGTTCGGCGGTGGACCTGAGTCGCTGGAGCTGGTCGGCTAAGTGGATGCCGACGACGCCGACGACGCCGGTGACAAGCAGAACAGGACGAGCACGGGCGGCTATGTGTTCTTCTACGGAGGGGCTGCAGTCTCCTGGTCGAGACAGCGCATCAAGTGCGCGACGCTGTCATCGACCGAGTCGGAGTACGTTGCGGCCACTGAAGCTGGCAAGGAGGGACGCCGCCTTCGCTTCCTTCTTGAAGAGTTCCGACAGCTGGACGCCGGGAAGCCGACCGTCCTTTGGGTGGACAACAAGTCGGCTATGACAGTCGCCGAGGGCATGGGGTTGACGGGCAACCTCAAGCACATGGAACGGCAATAGGCCTGGCTGCAGCACATGGTGAAGCGCGGGAAGTTCTCGCTGCAGTACATCCCGACCACTGAGCAGTCGGCCGACTTCCTGACGAAGGCGCTGCACTATCCGGCCTTCAACCGGTGCTCCGTCGCAATCGGCCAGGTGCGCTTGGCCAACGTGGGCGACGGCGACAACGACGTGCAGCAGTAGGTGCCATGCCCTTTTGCATGGCTGGTGCGGTGGACGATGTGCTGTGTGTTGGGTGCACGTCGACGAGCTTTTCTCCGAGGAGTACTGCCGTGTGGGCTGGGGGCCCAAGCGTGAACGCGGCAGGGGAGTGTCAACGGGAGTTGTGTGTTGGCCCCGTCCTCGCTTGGGCGGAGCCGACATCGTGGTCGGGTGTAAGGGGAGCAGCCGACCTGCAGCAGTGGGCGAGCTGGTTGACGAGAAGGTCGACCTGCACGGGGACCACTGCACGGGCGCCGATTTTAGGGTGGCGCTGACTTCGGGGAGGTCGACTTGGGAGTCGACTTGCGGAGGACGTCAACTTGGTGACGTCAACTTGGGGAAGCCGACTTCGGCGGTCGGCTGACGGACTGCTGGTCGACCTGGTGGTTGGTCAACCAGGCCTGCTGGTCGACTGTTGATGGTCGACTGGACCTGGTGGTCGACGAAGGAGGGGCCGACGTCGACCTCGACTCAGGACGCCGAGCAGTTGGGCGTCGAGTAGCGGGGCGTCAACTTCAATTGGCCGACGTGGGTGGTCAGCCGACAACTGTGCTGGTCGACGAGGAGCAGGTCGACCAAGAGTGTTGGTCGACGTGGAGCTGGTCGACCAGAAGGGACGTCGACCTAGAGGAGGTCGACCGTGGAGGTGGTCGTCGACTTGGGAGGTCGACGGGCACATACGGGAGCTGCTGGTCGACGTGGTTGCCCGGTCGACAAGGTTACCTGGGTGACGAAGTGCTGCGGAGGAGTGCGACGGTCGCCCAGGCAAAGTTGGCGAGTCCGACCTCGGTAGTGGTATCCCGAGGTCGTCGTGGCGGATCAGAGGCAGTCGTCAGCTTGAGGTTGACGTGGTGTGTGCGCTGTGCAGGTGACGAGACTCTGCACGCCAATCATCTGCGCGCACCTGCGAAGCGGGTGCACTGCTGTCCTGCGTGAGCAACGCTGGCACGCCGTCAACCTACGACGATGGCACGAAGTTGACCTTGCCTTGCTGGAGCGCGGTCGACCAAGTCGTGCTGGAACGCGGTTGACCAAGCTGCGCTGGCAGTTGGCCGACCTGAATGCTTGCTCTGATGTAGTCTTGCTATGCCAACTTCATTGTACCATTGTTCTGAACTTTTCCTAGTGAAACTCTTGCCAACTTTCCCCGTGAACTAGCAAGTAGTGTGTGCACAAGGAAAACGACTAAGGACTAACGAACGCAGAGATCACACGAGCACCCGTGCCTAGCCCATAGTCTAGCTCGCGTTGTATCAGTTATCTCCGCAGCTCGCATGCCAGGCATGCGCGCCGGTGGCTCCCTGTTGGTCCTTGCATTCCAACGCGCTTGCGCCGTTTGTACCCAGGTAGCCTCCAGTGGAATCGTTCCAGGGTCTGAGGCTGGTAGGCGCTTGCTCTCCTCTTCTCCAACTACGCCCCCGTGTTCTCGCTGATGAGGCGTCCGGTAGTGAGGAGAGTCGCTTTGGTGTGAAGCCAGGGTGCTCCGATCCGCTGACGGAATGCTATTCGCGTGTGCCCTCCAGCCTGGCGTGGCTTGCGTCGTTTCCATCGTTCGCCTCTGATAACTAAAGCCAGAGCGGAGCAATACATCGTCGGTCATTCCTTGCTTGTATGTGGAAATATTGCGTGGTTCTCTCTAGCCCCACTGACTAACTCGGCTGGCTCTTGTTGAGATAGAGGCGAGGAATGAGTGCACTATGAAATGAAACAAGTACAAGTACCAACCCTAATCGGGTTGTACCCCCTATGGGCTACCCCACTACAGCCTAAATATATGCATCAGTAATATAATCATCTGACACACCCCCATAGGCAAAGTGGGGGAGAGCAAGGGGTCACAAGACCAGTCAAGCAAAGCAAAGCAAGCTCAGGGTGGATCTCAAGGATACCACACAAATTTCGAGCACAAGGTCAAGGCCACAAGGCCAGTTCACATGCAGCAGAGCATATATATATAACAGTGCTAAACAAGCAAGAGCAAGGATATATATATGCAGCAGTACAAGCAAGGTCAAGAGGTAAGCAAGTGAGGTCCAGTGGGCACAAGGCATAGCAGAGTGCAAAAGCGCTGATGGTCACGAGGCGGAAGTGCCTTGGTGAACACATCAGCAGTGTTGGCCTCAGTGGCCACGAAACGCAGGCGAAGCTGACCACGCTGCTGCAGCTCTCGAGCAAGGAAGTAGCGCAGAGCAATGTGCTTCGTCCTGTGCTCCAGTCTGTGCTCCTCACACAAGGCAATGGTTGCCTTGTTGTCGACGTACAGCACTGGAGGAGAACGAGGCCGCTCTCCAAGGTCAGTCAGCAAGTAGGTGAGCCAGCGAAGCTCCTGGGCAGCCATGGCCGTGGCGTAGATCTCAGCCTCACAGCTGGAGCTGAGAACCGAAGAAGAGCGAGTAGAGTGCCAAGAGACAGAGCCAGAGCCAAGACTGAAGGTGTAACCCTGAGACGACCTCTGAGTAGCCTGGTCGTCAGCCCAAGAAGCGTCTGAGTGCCCAGTGAGCACAGGCCGCTCACGCCCTCCAAGCACTAGCCCCATGCCCGACGTACTGCACAAGTAGCGCAACACCCTCTTAGCTGCATCCATGTGCTCCTTCCGGTGACGGCCGGGAGCAACATAGCGTGCTAAGATGCTGAGAGGGTATGTGAGGTCAGGTCGAGTGCAAGTCATCAGGTACATGAGGCAGCCCACCAGCTCTGGATACGGACCACTCGACTCTACGGACTCATCCGAAGGCAGAGCTGAGAGCGAGTGTCCCGTAGGCAGAGGAGTGGACTGAGGCAAGGAGTACGTGAAGCCGAAGCGCTGAAGGACCTGCTGCACCATGTGTGACTGAGTCAGGGTAATGGTGCGACGTGCTCTGTCCCGGGTGATCCGCAAGCCAAGATAGCTTGTCAGTTCACCCAGGTCTGTGCACGTGTGTCTCTTCTGCAGCTCGGACTTCACGTGGGCGAGTGCGGCAGTGTCCGCAGTGGCAAAGACCAAGTCGTCGACGTACACGAGGATGTAGAACGGCGGCAGCGAGGTGTCGGTGCGCAGAAACAGCGACGGGTCAGCAGTAGAAGGAGCAAACCCAAGAGCCGCAAGTGTAGTCCTCAGTGTGTCGTGCCACTCACGCGGCGCCTGGCGGAGACCGTAGACTGGCTGCCGGAGGCTCCACTGGGTACCAGGAGGGAACGACCCAGTGAAGCCAGGAGGGCGGCGTAGCCAGATCTCCTCGTGCACGCGGCCCTGCAGGAAAGCAGTGCTGAAGTCAAGAGAGTGTAGCTCGTAGTCACGCTGAGCAGCGACGTGCAGTAGAACCCGAAGAGTGGTCATCTTCGGGGTCGGGGAGAAGGTCTGAAAGAAGTCAACTCCCTGTCGCTGACTGAAGCCACGAGCCACGTAGCGCGCCTTGAAGACAGGCGGAGAACCCGGCGGCCGCTTCACCCTGAAGATCCACATGCCACTGATAATGTTCGCCCCAGGAGGGGGAACAGCGTCAACGTGGGTGCCTGAGGACTTCCAGGAAGCCATCTCTGCGTCCATGGCTGAGTGCCACTGAGAGGAGTAGGGACCGGCCATCGCCTCTGCGTAAGAGCGTGGGGTCGGGATGTCTAGAGCATCCGAGTCTCCCTCAGGGGCAACAAGCATGGACACGAGATGGGGCAAAGCGGCGGCAAAGCACTGGAACTCCTCCTGCCTGTCCTCAAGGACGTCCGTGCCAAGAGCACAGTCACCCCCGACGGACGGAGGACAGGCAGACGCAGACGCAGCAGACGCAAACTCAGCAGACTCAGCAGACTCAGCAACAAGACTGGCAGCGTAGTCCAGACGACACGCAGCAGCAAAGTCGACCAGCTCAGCAACTAGGGCAGACGCAGCAGCGGACTCAAAGGAAGGGTCAGTGACAAGAGAAGCAAGAAGACGCGTGACAGTAGGACTGGTAGCACGGCGAGAGTCCGACTCCGGGTCGGCAAGTGTAGGAAGAGAAGACTGAGGAGGAGAAGGCAAAGGGGCACGCAGAGGAGCAGTGGACGGACGCAGAGACATCTGGTGTGTGCCAGGGACAGGAGGAGGACGCTGACGCGAACCGCGACCACTAAGGCGAGCAGCTCGGACTGGCCACGGAGGGCGGGACGCAGGCTCACGACGCTCAGCAAGACCTCCAGTAGGATTAGCGTAGGGAGAAGGAGAAGGCAGGGGAGAGGCGGGCTGTAATTGTGACTGTGACGGGACAGGCTGCGGACACTCTACGGGAGGAGAAGGACCAGTGGAAGGCGGGAGACCAAGAACCTGCTGAAGGAGCGGAACGAAGTACGGCCGAGGCCGCGCAGCACCGCCAAAGACAGCAGGGACCGCACCAACACCTCCAGAGGCAGCACCAGCACCAGTAGCAGCTCCAACTCCAGCACCACCAGCAGCTGCAGAAGTACCCGCAGTAGGACCGACAGTCATAGCCTCAGTGCCAGCACCCGCAGCAGCTCCAGCTCCAGAGGCACCCCCGGGCCCGGCAGCTCCAGTACCCTCAGTACGAGCACCTCCGGGACCCGTGGTACCAGCTCCCTTAGCAGCAACGGAACCTCCAGCACCCGCAGTACCCCCAGCTCCAGCAGCTCGCCTCCAGCGCCGGGCAAACCACTCACGCAGCTCCAGAGGAGAGAGCGGCTCGCGGCGCGAAGAACGGTCTGGAGAACCACCAGGAACAGAAGCAGCAGGCGCAGCACTCCCAGACGCAGTACCCCCAGGCTCAGCACCCCCAGGCACAGCACCCCCAGGCTCAGCACCCCCAGGCTCAGTACCCCCAGGCTCAGCACCCCCAGGCTCAGCACCCCCAGTCTCAACACCCCCAGGCTCAGCGCCCCCAGTCTCAGCACCCCCAGGCTCAGCGCCCCTAGTCTCAGCACCCCCAGGCTCGGCACCCCCAGTCTCAGCACCCCCAGTCTCAGCGCCCCCAGTCTCAGCACCCCCAGGCTCAGCACCCGCAGCAGCACCAGAGTCACCAGTGACCTCGACAGGCTCGACCGCGTCTACCTGAGACACACCTGAAGGGGCAGGACCCTGAGGGGGGAGGGGGTCTACCGGGGGGGGACCTGGGACCAGGAAGAGGGGCGGGGGGGGGAGGGACGGAGTGCGGTAGGGGAAGAGCCGGTAGAAGGGAACCGACTCGTCGAACGTGACTTCCTGGGAGGACAGAACACGACGAGAGGTGGGGTGGTAAAACTGCCACCCAGGTGCGTCAGGGGGAAAACCCAGGAAGACGCAAGGAGCAGCACGAGGGGACAGCTTGTCCGCAGACAAGTCGCGGACAAACGCCCGAGATCCCCAGACTCGGAATGCCGACGCATCGCCAACCTTCCCCGTCCACAGCAAAGCTGGGGAGGTCTTCGGTCTGGAGACCCTGGGCTGAAGGTTGATCTGATGCGCGGCGTACCGAACCGCAAACGGCCACAGAAAATGGGGGGCAGCCGCATGCACCATGGACGTACGGGCGACGTCCATGACAATGCCGATGCGGCGCTGAGCAATCCCATTTTGCTGTGGAGAGTCCGGAAGCGTGAAGGTCTGGCGGATGCCTCGTGCCCGACAGTAGGCTCGCAGAAGGCCGGAGGAGAACTCTCCGCCTCTGTCCGAGTGCAGACGCAAAACAGGAAAGTCCGAGCCGAAGCTCCGCCTGAGCTGGAGACGGGCTGCACGGATCCAGTCGATCAACACCTCAGTGACCTCACCCTTGCTGCGCAAGGGGAAGACTGTGGTGTAACGCGAGTAGTCGTCAACCACCAGCAGGAAGTAGCGCTCGTGACCCTGCCCACGGACGCGGGCTGGGCCCCACACGTCCATGTGAAGCGTCTGCATCGGGGCCTCCGTCGGAGGAAACGGGGAGGAGTGAGGGGTAGCCCGCAGGCGACCCTCGACACAGGGGACACAGGGAAGGCCAGGCCCCGGAGGAAGGGGAGGGAGGGACCGGGGAAGGCCAGAGACAAGAAGGCGAGAGGCCATGCCCCGGAGACGAGGCAGGGAGGGGTGACCCATCCTGTGGTGCCACAGGAGGGTCTCGTGGGACAGGAGGCGACACGAGCAGGGGGCAGACTCAGGACCAGACCTGGACGCAGCAGCAAACACCTGACCCGACGCAGCCACCTGACCAGACGCAGGAGGAGGAGACGGAACAGTGAGTGTGTACAGGCTCGACCCCGGCCCACGTGTGAACGTGGTCAAGTGTCGACCCGTGTCCGCGTCCGTGCAGTGGGTGTCCCGTCGGCGTGCAGGGGTGAACTGGTCGACCCCTGCATCCTATAGGTCAGCACCCGCCACCAAGTTCGTAGAGAACGAGGGGAGGTAGAGACCGGACAGGGCGCCAGACGGGACCGCAGGGCACGGCAGGACAGTGGAGTAGCGAGCCAGAACAGGACCCCCAGAGGGGTCCGCCAGGGAGACCGCCACTGGCCGACTAAGTGGCGTGAGTGTGGTGCGGTCTCGAAAGAAGGAGCGAGACGCCCCTGAGTCAAGAGTGAAGGTGAGAGAGGGCGGAGCCGACGCAGTACCTGAGAGAGCAGACTCACCAGCACCTGAGGACACAGACTCACTGGCACCTAGAGCGACAGCCTCACCAGCACCTGGAGCAGCAGCCTCAACAGCACCTAGAGCCGCAGTACCAATGCCCGGGTCGGGCGGGAAACACCGGTAACAGTCACCCTCCTCACTAATAGTCACAGCATACATGGCAGCAAGAATAGCATCAAAGTCAAGATCAAAGATAGCTACTCCTGCCCTAGACAGCTGGTCCCAGCGAGGGATCTCAGAGGCGTCAGGAAACTGGCGGCGCCAAGCGTCAGTCAGGCGGCCGAAGCAGCGCTGGGCGGAGTGTGGACCACCACACGGCTCACCCGCACGGTCGCCAGTGCGCAGGACGTAGGTGCACGGACCAGTACCCCCACCCCTCTGACGTGCAACGTACCACTCACGGAGCTGCTGCGGGGAGAGGGTCTCCTGACCACGCTGCTGCCGCTGCTGCTGGTGGTGACCGCCACCGGAGCCACTCCTCTGCGACGAGCCACGACCTCCTCCGCCGCCTCCTCCGCCGCCGCCGCCACCACCTCCGCTGCCACCGCCACTCCCACCTTCGCTGCCGCCACCGCCGCCTCCGCCTCCACTCCCACCACCACCGCCGCTGCCACCCCCGCTTCCATTGCCGCCGCTGACACCTCCACTCCCGCCACCACTCCCGCTACCACCCCCGCTACCACCCCCACCTCCTCCGCTGCCTCCACCGCCGCCTCCACCGCCCCCGCCGCCTCCACCACCGCTCCTGCCCCCCTTGCCCTTGCCAGAGCGACGTCTCCCACTGGGGGCAGACGCCGCACCGACCGACTCAAAACCAACTAGGTCGGCCGTAGCAGCAGAGGCGACAGAGGGCAGGAGGGGGGAGGGGGAACACCCCTCAAAGATGGGGGTGCGCGGGTCACCACCAGAGGCCCCTATAGCGAGAATGCTCTTCTCGGCTGCTAGGAGGGACTTCTCGAGGAGGTCAACAGTGAGAGTGGTGGGGCAGACTAAGAGTAAGTCGTCCCTGACTCCGTGAAGGGAGTCAGGGAGGCGGGTGACAATGTAGTAGAGAGTGAAGTACTGGGGGGGGGGGGGTTCTTGGCGCAAAACTCAGCAGGAAGCGCAGCGCGGAAGCGAGCGTCACTAGTGCGCAGGTGGGTAATGAGGTCGGCGACTGTGGCAAAAGAAGCAAGGTCGGGAAAGAGGTACGGTAGCATGAGGCGGCTCAGTGCAGCAGTGGCAGGGGTGGAGTAGCGTGCAATAACGGCGTCGTACAAGGTCTTAGCACTCTTGTACGACCCAAAGTGTGCACGCTCAGAGGGAGGGAGGTGGCGACGCACAGCAAGACGTGCAGCAGCATCGCGTGTGGCCCACTGTGAGCGAACAGTGGCATCCTCAGTAGCAGCAGGGGCGGGAGAGGCACCAGAAGTGAGATCAAAGAGAGAGAGGCCGTCAGCTCTATCGCACTGTAGGAAAAGCAGCAGGTCGTCTACCCACACGTCAAAGTCGATGGCTCTGCCCTCAGCGTCGAAGGTGAGGACACTGGGGGTAGCCATGACAGCAGTAGGGTGAGGGCAGTGCGCAGAGTAAAGCTCAGTGCTCACCAGACAGGGCAGTGCAGGCGGCTCGGGCGGCTCGGGCGGCTCGGGCGGCTCGGGCGGCTTGGCGGCTCGGCTGCTGGGCGGCTCGGGCGGCTCGGCGGCTCGGGCGGCTCAGGCGGCTCGGCTGCTGGGGCGGCTCGGCCGCTGGGGCGGCTCGGCTGCTGGGGCGGCTCGGCTGCTGGGGCGGCTCGGCTGCTGGGGCGGCGCAGTTGCTGGGGCGGCGGGGCCGGGAGATGCAGCTGCGGGGCCGTCAGGGGTAGTGGCGGGGCCGGTAGGTGAAGCGGCGGGGCCGTCAGGTACAGCAGCAGGGCCGGCAGGTGAGACGGCGGGGCCTGCAGATGAGGCGGCGGGGCCGGCAGGTGCAGTAGCGGGGCCGTCAGGGGTAGCGGCGGGGCCGGTAGGTGCAGTGGCGGGGCCGTCAGAGGGGACGGCGGGGCCGTCAGGTGCAGCGGCGGGGCCGTCAGAGGGGACGGCGGGGCCGTCAGGTGCAGCGGCGGGGCCGTCTGAAGCAGCGGCGGGGCCGGCAGAGGGGACAGCGGGGCCGTCGGGTGCAGCGGCGGGGCCGGCAGAGGGGACGGCGGGGCCGTCAGAGGGGACGGCGGGGCCGTCAAGTGCAGCGGAGGGGGCCGGTAGAGGGGACGGCGGGGCCGTCGCAGGCGATCGCGGGGCCGTCAGAGACGGCGCCGGCGTCGCGAGGGTCAGAGGGGGCGGCGCGCGACCGGAGGGCGGCACGCGCGACGCGGCGCGGCCGTCTAGGGGCGGCGCAACGAGGCCGCGTAGGTGGCGCGCCAAAAAAGATCGCGGGCGGCTTGACGTGATCGGGCCGCCAAAGGAAAAAAAAGGCCCAGCGCGACTCGGGCTAGGGCAGAGCGCGCTCCGGGCAGGACGGAATAGTAGGTGGGCCCTAGGAACAGTTCCCACTAGGGAACCTGCTCGATACCATGTTGAGATAGAGGCGAGGAATGAGTGCACTATGAAATGAAACAAGTACAAGTACCAACCCTAATTGGGTTGTACCCCCTATGGGCTACCCCACTACAGCCTAAATATATGCATCAGTAATATAATCATCTGACAGCTCTTGCTTGAAATGGCTTCTCTAGCTAGGGTTTGGGAAGATGTTTAGCTAATTAAGAAAACATACAAGCAAGTAGAGGCCTCAAGGCTCTCTGCGCACCTATGTATCATTCTTAATATTACCGTTGCCTCTTGACTCTCCCTACTTTCGGCTTTCCCGCTACAAGGGCCGTTGCTCTTTGTGTCCTTCCCGCCGATCTCCTATGCTCGCTACGAGATATTCTACACTACCCTGTCACACAATTATATCAAGGTTCCTTATGCCAACTAATTATCTGATGCCTTTATTAATTGCGTGACATCACCCTCAACACTAATAGTCAATGCATACATAGCAGCAACGATAGCATCATAGTCAAGAGCAAAGATATCAATTCCCTTCTTAAGCAGATCAGCCCAACGGGGCAGCTCAGAGGCGTCGGGAAACTGCTCGCGCCAGGTGTCGTCGAGGCGAAAGAAACAGCGCTGTGCCGTGTGAAACCTCCCACAGGTCTGGCCAGTGCGGTTACATGTGCGGATGACGTACGGGCAGGTACCCCCACCCCCAGACCCCCCGCGCTGAGAGTACCACTCACGGAGCTGCTGGGGCGAGGGAGTCTCACCGGGACGCTGTTGCTGCTGCCTCTGGCCACCGCCGAACCCCCCACGCTGTACCGCTCCACTGCGCCGGCCACCCGCTCCACCGCCGCCACCACTGCCACCACCGCCCCCACCACCTCCACCACCGCCGCCGCCACCGACCCACCCACCACCCGCGCCACTCCCACCTCCGCCACCACCCCCGCCCACCCCACCCCCTCCACCGCCACCGCCCCCACCTCCACCTCCACCACCCTTGCCCCCCTTCCCTCTGCCGCCCTTGCGCCTCCCACTAGGAGCAGACGCGGCCCCGACCCCCTCAGCTCCGAGGTAGTCGACAGCAGCAGCAGATGCAATGGAGGGGAGGAGGGGGGAGGGGGAGCACCCCTCAAAGAAGGGGGTGCGGGGGTCACCACGAGAGGCACCTACAGCTACAATTCTCTTCTCAGCTGCTAGGAGTTCCTTCTCGAGGAGGTCGATAGTGAGGTCAGTGGGGGAGAGGGCAAGAAACTGGTCCTTGACAGTGCGAAGGGAGTCAGGGAGGCAGGTGACAATGTGGTACAGTGTGAGGTACATCCGGGGGGGGGGGGGTTCTTGGCGAGGAAATCGGGGGGGAGTGCGGCACGGTAGCGGAGGTCACTGGTACGCAGGTGGGTGATGAGGTCAGCTACAGTGGCAAAGGCGGACAGGTCGGGGAAGAGGTAGGGCAGTGAGAGACGGCCCATAGCAGCAGTGGCAGGGGAGGAGTAGCGCGCGACTACTGCGTCGTACAGCTCCTTAGCGGTCGTATGCTGGCCGAAGTGCTCGCGCGCATCTAACGGCAGGTGGCTGCGAACGGCTAGGCGAGCGTGAGCATCACGGGTCTGCCACTGGGAGCGAGCAGTACTGTCAGCAGTAGCGGGAGGTGCGGGAGCAGCGACTGACGTGTGGTCATACAGGGAGACATCGTCCTTGGCGGTGATCAGGAGGAACAGGTGGAGGTCATCTAACCAAACCTCAAACTTAATCGGGCAGCCCTCAGCGTCAAAGGTGAGAATAGAGGGAGTGGCCATAGTGGCAGTAGGAACAGTAGCAGTTGTAGCAGTAGTAGTTTCAGTTGCAGTTGAAGCAGTAGTACGGTAGGAACAGGAACAGGAGTTGCTGCAGGTGGGGCACAGTAGGGCGGCACGGCTCGGTTCGGGCGGCGCGGCTCGGTTCGGGCTGGGCTACGCGGCGGTGTGCGACTGGGGGCGTGCGCGTGGGCGGGTGTAGCGGGCGGGCCGTGGCTGCACGTGGGCCTGACTAGCGCGCGGGCCGCGGCCTAGAGAGGGCGTCGCGGCGGCCTACGGGCGTGGCTGCGACGCTCTAGGCGGCGGTCGATGGGCGGCTAGGGGCTGCTCGTGGGCGGCGCTGTTGAAATATATTTCTGATATAAACTGCTTGTAGCAGTAGTTAGTGTAGTGTTACATTGTTTGGTGGTGCACCTTGCTTGCTTTGCCTATATCCTTGTACCTTCTCTCTTTATTGAACGCCTTTTCTCCTTTGCAACTCTCTCGACATTCCTCTTGAACCCTAAAACCTAAGCTACTAAGACACTCACTAGCCATGGCTCCTAAGTCACGCTAGCATCTCAACATGGTATTCAGAGCAGGTACCTTCCTGCTGCCTTCCTGCTTCCGCTGCCTATCGTCCTGCCGCGCGCCTCGGGCGCGCGGCGTATTTTTCTCGCCGTGCGCCCTGGGCGCGCGGCGTCTTCCTGCCACGCGCGTGGCCTGCCCTCACGCCGCCTGCGCGCCTGCCTCACATCCACGCGCGGGCCTGTTTTGCCCGCCCGTACCCTCCACTTCGCGGCGCCCTGCGAGGCGCCGCTCCTGCTTGTCGCGACGCACCTGCGGGACCCGGGCGTCTCCGCTCCTGCTCGTCGCGACGCCCCTGCAGGACCCGCACTGCGTCACCTTGCTTGTCGCGACGCCCCTGCGGGACCCGCGGGGCATTGCCACTGCTCGTCACGGCGCCCCCTGGACGCCGCCCCTGCTCGTCGCGGCGCCCCTGGGGCGTCGCCCCGGCTCGTAGCGGCACCCCATGGGCGCCGTCCCTGCTCGTCGCGGCGCCCTCCCCCCTGGCCACCGCCTCTGCCTTACTGCGCCCGCGCCAGCGTTGCAGCCGCGCGCGGGCCTACCTTGCACCAGCGCCGTCCCTGGAGCAGCCGCCCCTGGAGCAGCCGCCCCTCGCCCCTGGAGCAGCCGCCCCTGGTGCAGCCGCCCCTGGACCTCTGCAGCCGCCTCTGGACCTCAGCAGCCGCCCCTGGCCCTTGGAGCAGCCGCCCCTGGTGCAGCCGCCCCTGGACCCCACGAGCCGCACTAGCAGCAGCCCACGGCGCCGACCCTACAGCTGTATGCGCCGCCGCTTCTGGACTCGGTACGGCTGCCTGCCTGTGCTGCCCATTGCTGCCCATGCGTGTGCTGCCTGTTGCTGCCCGTTGCTGCCTCTGCCTATGCTGCCCGTTGCCGCCTGTTGCTGCCCGTGCCTGTGCTGCCTGTTGCCGCCCGTTGCTGCCCGAGCCTGTGCTGCCTGTTGCTGCCTGTTGCTGCCCGTGCATGTGCTGCCCGTTGCCGCCTGTTGCTGCCCGTGCCTGTGCTGCCCGTTGCCGCCCGTTGCTGCCCGTGCCTGTGCTGCCCGTTGTTGCCCGTGCCTGTGCTGCCTGTTGCCGCCCGTTGCTGCCCGAGCCTGTGCTGCCTGTTGCTGCCCGTGCCTGTGCTGCCCGTTGCCGCCCGTTGCTGCCCGTTGCTGCCCGTGCCTGTGCTGCCTGTTGCCGCCCGTTGCTACCCGTGCCTGTGCTGCCCGTTGCCGCCCGTTGCTGCCCGTGCCTGTGCTGCCTGTTGCCGCCTGTTGCTGCCCGTGCCTGTGCTGCCCGTTGCCGCCCGTTGCTGCCCGTGCCTGTGCTGCCCGTTGCCGCCCGTTGCTGCCCGTGCATGTGCTGCCCGTTGCCGCCCGTTGCTGCCCGTGCCGCCTGTTGCCGCCCGTTGCTGCCCGTGCCTGTGCTGCCTGTTGCCGCCTGTTGCTGCTCGTGCTTGTGCTGCCCGTTGCCGCCCGTTGCTGCCCGTGCCTGTGCTGCCCGTTGCCGCCCGTTGCTGCCCGTGCCTGTGCTGCCCGTTGCCGCCCGTTGCTGCCCGTGCTTGTGCTGCCCGTTGCCGCTCTGCTGCTGTCCGCGCCCTCGTGCGCCCTGCTGCTACCCGCGCCCTTGTGCGCTCTGGTCTGCCTGCACCCTCGTGCGCTCTGCTGCTGCCCGTGCCCTCGTGCGCCCTGCTGCTGCCCGCGCCCTTGTGCGCTCTGCTCTGCCCGCGCCCTCGTGCGCTCTGTTCTGCTCTGTCGCCCCTGCCCCCCCCCCTCCCCCCCCTTCTTTGTCTCCTTGCTGCGCGTGCAGCCGTGGAACAGAGGCTATGGGGGTGGCGGGTATGGGGGTGATGGGTGTGTGTGATCCCCTTCCCCTCCTCCTCCTTTCTCTCCCACTGCTGCAGCTGCTGCTGGGGGGTGGGTGGGTGTGAGGGTGTGGGGGAGCTGGGAGAGAGGTGCTAGGGTTGTCGAGGAGTGTGGAAGGGGGATTTGGAGGACTAGGGAAGGTTCCAGGAAGCAGCCGCCTTGGAGCCAGCAGCTTCACCTGCCAGCAGCGTCTCCTCATATAGTCCCTCCTCCTCACTTGCCCTCTCCTTCTGCTGTGCTTGGTGTACCCCTTCAGGGGGTGTCTCTGCATTAGCTTCCTACTGCAAGCAGTATAGGGGGTGTGTTGAAATATATTTCTGATATAAACTGCTTGTAGCAGTAGTTAGTGTAGTGTTACATTGTTTGGTGGTGCACCTTGCTTGCTTTGCCTATATCCTTGTACCTTCTCTCTTTATTGAACACCTTTTCTCCTTTGCAACTCTCTCGACATTCCTCTTGAACCCAAAAACCTAAGCTACTAAGACACTCACTAGCCATGGCTCCTAAGTCACGCTAGTATCTCAACAGGCGCCGGTCGCACGGGCTGCTAGGGGTCGGCGCTCGCTCAGAAAAGGGGCCGCGTGCGGGAGGCTAGCGGGCTACGCGGGCAAAAAACGGGCCGCGCGAGCGACTAGCGGGCGACGCGGCCGAAAAAGCGGGGCACTCGAGGGCGCACTAGGCGTGAGGCGTACGAGGGCGCGATTAGGAGAAGGCGCACGAGGGCGCAACTAGCGGAACGATGGGCCCTTAGGTAAGCGGTCCTAGGGCTAGGACCTACGCTCTTAATACCATGTTAGAATGAACAAGTGGTTGAACTATGAACATTGGGTGATACAAGTAGCAAACCCTAGAATGATATACCCCGTAAAGGCTAACCCGCTATAGCCTACACAACAATAACATATATAATGTTTGACAACAAGGTTGGTTTAGGGATGCGAATTCGAAACCTGTTGCTCGCAGTCCCTTCACTGAAGAATCGAGGAAGACAAGAAAATAACGAGCACAACGAAGACAGGAAAATAATAACAGGAAACAAGACTGCCTTGAAACTAAGTTAGCACCTGGGGGTCATGGGACACTACCTATTTCCTGCTTGTAGCAGGCAAAGACCCCATTAAAAAAAACCATGCATACTATTGCATGGTGACTTCCGTCCTGTTACACTGGGACAGGGACTGTTGTAAGTTTCATGTCATATTCAGTCGGAAATAGAAGTTTCATGTTTACTCAGAACTACTAGTCGCAGTGAATCAAAGTGGAATTTTTCATCTCCCGTCCCCTCCCCCACTTCCTCCTTTCATCCTTCTCTTAGAATCGTAAACGCCTTAGTCGGCAATAGTCTACTTGCTAATTCTTATCGTGTTCTCCACGATCTCATGAATCCAACGGTATGCGCAGCTCTGCTTGAAGTTGTCAATATACACTTCAGCAATTTTCAGAATCTGATTGGTTTCAATGTTGTCAATGTTGTGATTTCCAGAATGAGTACAAGCAGTTTTATAGTCAACCAAGGTACAAAATGCGATTCGTAACTTCACTTGATTCCTAAGTAACCGCGTGCGGCTTGTTTCACCCCGAGTCGTACACGAAAACCGCATCGAATGCACCGAACATTCCTCAAGTCCGAATCCCGAACTTTCTCGAACGCGCCTCAAGCTCGAACCACAATTTCTCCTCGTCAACTTCAATCTAGATACTTCCCCTTCTCTCTGCCTCCTTCTAGCACATTGCTTTCCGATCTCTCTCTCGCTTCTCACGCCGTTGCTTCCAAGCTCCGTCGTAGGCCGATTTCCACCGCATTCACTCTAGAATGTCCTACGCACTTCCATTCCACCGTCATTCCACATTTCGCCGTAGGTTCCGTGGTTGTGCGAACCAACCCTAACAATCTCCCCTGAGGTTCGTCAACCATGAACTCCACTCGCACTCCTCCCCTCCTCCTTGCAGCCTTCACAGGACTAAGTCGGCTTCACACTCCCCTGCTGCTCCTGCACGCTGAACCTTTGCTTACGTGTCTTGTAGTTGAGCGTCTTAAAGTCCAAACCTTGATATATTTTCTTCTGCCTCTCGCTTCTCCTCGGCATCTCAACACCCAACACCTCTCGAGTCTCGTACCCCTCAATGTATTCCTCTTTCGTAAGCATTCGCCCCTTTGCAGTTGCATTCGCCTTTGATCCTTTCACCATGATGTCCCCTTTCACAACTTCCACTCCCACACACTTTGCATTTACTGCTTCATCAACTACGATCGCTGCTGCAAAGGTGTTGACACGAACTCCACCGCCACCGTTCACTGCCGCTGCCGCCACCGCCAATTCCATCTCAGTATACTCAGGATCCTCATATGTCATCCTTATCGCTCATCGCGACCAAATTCAACTCATAGTACCCGTCACTGAAGTAAACATCAGCATATTTCTCCCACTCAGGACCAAACACAGTAACCTTGCCACTGTCATAAAATATCTTGCACCGCAAGTCATCAAGCTGTGACTGACTGACCAAATTCACCTTCAAATTCTCAACCAGCAGCACGTTCTCAAGTTTCACCTCTCCATACGGACTCTGCAGCACCACGTCACCCTCTCCTGTCACTGGTAACTTCCCACTGTTACCTTGCAGTATATAACGCTCACTCGGCTCGTCACATTCTCCATCCAATCTGACCTGAATGTCATGTGACGCGTGCATCCGCTGTCCATGAACCACGCCCTCTTCTCACGTCCATCTGTCTTAGCCTCCTTCGGTAAACGCACCACGTTCGCGAGATGCGCTCCTCCCAAGATCACATCCTCCTTTTCCGCTTCCGCTATATTCGCCTTTCCCGCCACATTTCTCTGCTGCTGCGACGGACCCTTGTAGCTCCTACTATTTGAATTGGAGTAGCATTTTGAAGCACGATGCCCGTAGCGCCCACAATAATCACACTTGCCTCCAAAACCTCGTTTCTGCTGCCACTCCGTTCCCCCATTCTCCACTTTCTTGTTCTCCGCCGCATTGCCCTTGTAGTTTTTGCTTCGCGGATTTTCGTAGCAGTTTATCGCCTTATGACCGCGCTTTCCACACTGGTAGCACGCTCCAAACACCTTCATTGCATTCACCAAAGCCGGCCTCTCCTCGTCAAATTCCTTAGCTGCTGCTGCCGCTTTCTTCTTTCTCATCTCCTTAACCGGCTCAAGCGACTGTAGAATCTCCTGCAGCTTCATCAAACTCTCTTGCGGTTGGTATGTAAACATACCAATGTCGGATTTGTACTCCTTAGGAAGTCCATCGACTATGTAGTCGATCATCGCTTTCTCCGTCTCCGCGGCTCCCATCACACGTAGGTCGTCGTTGTAGCTTTTCGCCCTGTCAATGTAGGTGATGATTTTCTCGCCTTTCTCCATGCTCAGCGTCAGCAGTTGCTTCCTAATCGCCTTCTTGTTAACATCGTTGGTGCCCATGTACGTGGACTCCAGGTACTCCCATGCTCGCTGTGCAGAGTTCAGCTCCCCTGCAAACTGGTCCAAATCTACCGCGGTTCCATCGGCAACTGAATGACAAAGCTGAAAGAACGCTTGCTTAAGTTGCCTTTTAAACGCCGCTATTTTCTCCTTCATATCCGTCGTGGACGGCGCAACTCCCTCCATCGTCTCCTCGTCGGGACGGTAGTACGGCAAGAGATCCACCTCCTCTGCCCTCTGAATGAACTTCTTTCGCCACACGTTGTAGTTGCTCCCGTTGAAGCGCTGACTTCACTGAGCCCAATCGTCGGTCTCGCCACCAATCGGCCACTCGCAAGGGCCTCGAGAAGAGCCTTCAACTACGGGTCTCCAAGACTCACACTGGAACCCGAACTCGCCTCGTCTCCCATAGCGTAGGCGTGAACGACTCCTCTTCTCCATTAATTTCACTTAGCGCACCAAGTGAATTCACGACGATTGACGCGCCCGTTCGCCAAGCTCTGATACCAGTTCTTAGGATCGTAAATGCCTTAGTCGGCAATAGTCTACTTGCTATTGCTTATCGTGTTCTCCACGATCTCACGAATCCAACGGTATGCGCAGCTCTGCTTGAAGTTGTCAATACACAGTTCAGCAATTTTCAGAATCTGATTGGTTTCAATGTTGTCAATGTTGTGATTTCCAGAATGAGTACAAGCAGTTTTATAGTCAACCAAGGTACAAAATGCGATTCCTAACTTCACTTGATTCCTAAGTAACCGCGTGCGGCTCATTTCACCCCGAGTCGCACACGAAACCGCATCGAACGCACCGAACATACCTCAAGTCCGAATCCCGAACTTTCTCGAACACGCCTCAAGCTTGAACCACAATTTCCCCTCGTCAACTTCAATCTCGATACTTCTCCTTCTCTCTGCCTCCTTCTAGCACATTGCTTTCCGATCTCTCTCCCGCTTCTCACGCCGTAGCTTCCAATCTCCGCCGTAGGCCGATTTCCACCACATTCACTCTAGAATGTCCTACGCGCTTCCATTTCACCGTCATTCCGCTTTTCGCTGTAGGTTCCGTGGTTGGGCGAACCAACCCTAACACCTTCTCCTCCTCCTGCTCCCCTCTCCTGCAATTTCTGCTGCAAGTGCAAGTCCTGCTGGACTTACAGTAGGCATTTGGACGGACATTCTCTGGGTGGGTGGCGGGGGGGGGACTGCAGCTTGGCCTACAATGTGACGTGCGATGCCAAAGGCATGGTGACCGAAATGTGAGAGACCAGAGCTGCTGGTGTTGCACCCCCTGATCGAAGACAAATTCTTGCTGGCCCTGAATTGGGTGCCATGATCATATTTTATTTGCTAGTTTCGCCCACATGTTTTCACTATTTTTCTCTTCATCTCTATGTTAAACAGCTATTGCATAGGGTTGCTAAGCTAGTGGTGTTCTACAGGGCTAACATGCAAGCAAAGGTAACCTGCAATAAGACCCATCTACCTCAAGGACCTCTGTCTAGAGGAGCTCCATCCCAGGCTCAAGGACAATGAGGAATCCCCCAGGGGAGGCTACGTCCGCTGGCCATCCATTGAGCCCGTTCTTGGCTTGTGCCGCTTCATTCAGCTTGACGAGGTAGCTTATGGCATGGCCTGCTCCCACTCTACTGCGAGAGACCATCACTGGAGATCTGGTACAACAACTTTGCCGACTGGTAGGTTGTCAGTTCAGCATGAAAGAGTCCCCTTGCAGCCGTGTCCACCAAGGGTTTTAGAAATACGGGGACTTCACCAAATGGACAGCCAAGCATCTCAACGGCAAGGGGGAATAGGCCAACATACTCTACTCTGTTCCGTTGATGGTATGTTTTCTTCTCCGCTGCGTCCCATGCTGCCCATCCCTGACCTTTTCCGTGCCCAAGGGTTTACGGGCATGGCTCGAGAACGGGATTGGTATGACGCGCTCATGTGTTTCACGACCAAGTTGAAGGGCGCATCTGTCTCATTGCTGGGGTTCTTGCGTATGGGTTGCCCTGTGCGCAAAGTTCCCTTGCG